TGGAGGCCAAGAATGAGGGACACAAGACCGTCGAGAGAGAGGTATTCCGTCTGAATAAAGTTGTGGCTTCTGCTGAGAAGTCTAAGGAGGCTACTATTGGGGTTCAGGCCCAGCTTGAGGGAAAAATGGCTAAGCTGGAGGCTATTATAGCTGTGATGGTTGCTGAGCGTTCAACTTTGGAGGCCAAGCATTGGCAGCAGGGCTGGAATGAAGCTGGAGCTGCCTATAAAGAAGAGGTGTTGGTACTTCGTGACAAACTCTTCTTGAAAGGCTAGATGATTGCCTTGGCTGCTACTTAAATTCCTGAAGAATCCTTTTTGTTTTAGAACGTTCCAGTTCCCTCAAAGTCTCTGGTTCTGAAGACTCTTGCTACTCCTCCAGTAAGGATTTCCCCAGGATTTGATTCTGCAAACAAGACTCCGAAGAGCGATGCTACCAGTGAAGTAGTAAATGTTGACGGGAGTGGGAACTTGGAGACTGAGGCTATGGAAGACGTGGTTAAGGAGGTTCTTGCTTCTCAGAAAGTTAGAGCTACCTCTACTTTTCCTTCCCAAGATGACGTGCAGAAAATTGCGAATGTTGCCTCTAAAGTTCCTCATGCTGATGAAAGTTAGAGTGGTTTTTGTTTGAAAAGACTTGAAGTTTGTTCTTTACACATTTCTTTTTTCTTTTTTCTTTGTTTTTCTTTTTTTTCTTTCTGATACACTGGAGCTCAGTCTTTCTGACGACTTGGCCCCTTGATGCTTTTTGTTGTTTTTTTGAGGCCAGCTGTGCTTTGGTTGAATAGTGGAACTTGTTTCTGTTAATCTTTGCAATATGATACTTTTTGCTTCAATACTTGTGTTAATTATACTGTTTGCCCCCAGCCGAGCATTGTTTGGACCGCAGGGCCAAATAGTTGTTCGGTCTAGTTAATAGGCTGCATGGTTGTGCTTATCTTGTAATCAAATGAGAGTGGTTTACTTGGGTCTAGGTTGATTTTAAGAAAAACAATTGTTTGCCCCCACCTGGAGCTAAGTAAGATTGATATTGAGGATCTTGCTCCCTGGCAGAATTGCCTAAGTCTGTCTCAACTTTGTACTTTGAATAGGATAAAGGTATAAAGAGGTGTCTTACTCAGGTCTAGGTTGATTTCAAAAAAAAAAATTGTTTGCCCCCACCTGGAGTTAAGTAAGACTAGTGCTGGAAGTTTGTTCCTGAGAGAATTTTGGCCAAGTTTGTTCCAACTTTGTTTGCATGGTGCAGTACTAAAGTGTTGATGTGTTTGTACTTAAGAAATTCTGTGATTTCAAAAAAGAAATGTTCGTTAGGGTGGTTTCCACCAAGCAATTCCACTTGGCATGTTTGAGTGCTAGCCAAAACTAAATTCTGTTCGGTCGCTCTGAAATGAAGTCCATTTGGTTAAAACCAAAGCTAATTCTGTTTGATAAACATCAAAGCTAAGTCCGTTTGGTAAACACCAAAACTAATTCCGTTTGGTAAACACCAAAATTGAGTCCATTTGGTAAACACCAAAGCTAATCACTTTTATTTGAAATATGTCCCCAGGGCTTGGATTATAAAGACTGGGTTAAGCAATAATCTGTTTTGACCATAAAGCTGTACAAGTGCTGGAAACAAAAGTTTAAAGAAGTGAGGAAGCATTCTCATTAATCAACAGATAAATGCTTGTACACTTGACTGATAACTTTGAGGGTCTAATCTATTGATAGTACTTCTTGAGTTTGGCTACATTCTAGGGCCGAGGTATGGCCTTGCCCTTAAGATCCTCCAAGTAGTATGCTCCATTTCCAATAATGACTGTGACCTTGTAAGGACCTTTCCAATTAGGTCCTAACTTCCCTTTGCTAGGCACCTTCTTGTGATCTATGACTTTCCTCATAACCAATTCTCCAGGTGTGAATTATCTTTGGAAAAACTTTCTTATCAAAACTTTTGATAAGCTGCTGCTGATAGGCGACAAGTTTGATTAGTGCTACTTCTCTTAGGCCTTCTGCCATGTCCGAGGCTTGTGCTATAGCTTCCTCATTACTTGCATCTTCAAACAATTCTGATCGAAGGGTTGGGAGACCGACTTCTAGTGGAATAACAACCTCCATTCGGTAGGTTAAGGAGTAGGGTGTTTCCCTTGTTGAGCGCCGCTGTGGTTCAGTAGGCTCATAACACATGGGGTAACTCTTCCACCCACTTCTCTTTTTCACTTTCAAGCCGCTTTTTTACTCCATTAATGATGGTTTTGTTGGATGATTCCGCCCGCCCATTGCTATGTGGGTAGCCCGGAAAGGAGTTCCGATATTCAATCTTAAGATCAGCATAGAACTTCCTGAAAATCTTTTCGTCAAACTTCGTTCCATTGTCTGTAATTAGTACCCGTGGGATGCCAAAACGGACCACGATATTCCTTATAACAAACTACTTTGTGTTTGCTTCTTTGATGCTTGCCAGTGCTTCAACTTCTACCCACTTGGTGAAGTAGTCAATTGCAGCGATGAAGAATTGCCTATTTCCAGTCCCCCGTGCCAAAAGTCGAACGATGTTTAAGCCCCACTGAGCGAAAGGCCATAGGCTAGTAAGTAGAGTAATATTTTTGGCTGGCTGATGAATTAGTGGAGCAAAATCTCTGACACTTATCACACTTCTGAACGTCTTGTTGTGCATCTTATCACACTTCTGAACGTCTTGTTGTCCAAAATCGGGCTGATCGGTGTTGAATTTTATTAGCCTCTTTCTTGTCTTCAGGAAAAGTGCCAGATCTTAGAAAAACAAGTATTGGGTCCATCCAGCTCGGTCTGAGGTTAGTGTAGAGGACTAGATCTGGAGATACGGTGCTTGTTTTGGCACAAACTCAACTCAAACTTTTCTAGCACCTTTAGTGTCCACAGATAAGCCAAGGCAGACAAGGGCATCAGTATGACTGTTTCTGTCCCGATTGATCCGTTCGACTAGTATGGATTGGAATTTCTTAAGTAAATCTCTGACCTTGTCTGCATACATAACCATTCTCTCATCCCTTGTTTCAGAGACCCCAATGAGTTAGTTAACGATCAACTGAGAATCATTGAAAACCAGGAGTTGATCTACACTGAAGTGTTCGGCACTACGCAATCCAGCCAGTAGTGCTTCGTATTTTGTCTCATTGTTAGAGGCCTTCTATCCAAGCTTCAGAGCTTACTCCCAGATGAATCCTTCTGGAGATATGAGTACCACCCCTGCTCCCAAGCCTCGGTTATTGGATGATCAGTCAACATAGAGCTACCAAATGTCACCAATGAAGAGTTTTCATGCTTCTGAAGCACATTGTTTTCCCAGTTCGGTAGTGCGTGACACCTATACCAAGCCGAAGTTCTGATGTTTAATGCTCTGGGAGGGGTGAATTCAGCCACAAAATCCGCCAAGACCTAGGCCTTGATTACTGTTCTGCGCTGATGTCGTATGTCAACCTGACCAAGCTCCACCACCCATTTCGTTGTTAAGCCTGAAAAATCAGCTCGGCCAAGGACAGATCTTAGGGGGAACTCAATGAGGACATTGATAGTACAACCCTGGAAGTAGTGTTGTAGTTTCCTTAAGGCAATGAGCAGAGCATAAGCCAGCTTTTCCAACGGTAGATACCGTGTTTCGGCGTCTAAGAGAGTCTTGCTGATGTAGTACATTGGTCTCTGTTCATTTTCAACTTCATGAATCAGTACTGCGCTTACAGCATGGGTATGAAACTACCAAATACAGGTACAGTTCTTTCCTTAGTTCTGGAGTGGAAAGAAAAGGTGGTGTACTGAGAAACTTCTTGAGGTCTTTGAGTGCTTTGGTACATTCAAGACCCCATTCGAATATAGCCTTTTTTCTCAATAGCTGAAAGAAAGGCTTCATTCGATCTGAAGACTTGCTGATGAACCTATTTAGGGCGGCTACCATTCCGTCCAGTTTCTATAGTTCATAAGCCTTTGCTTGTACTTCGAGTTCTTATATTGCTTTGATTTGATTTGGATTTACTTCGATTCCTCTGCGAGTTACCATGTACCCCAAGAACTTCCCTATTCCTACATTGAAAACGCATTTCGAGGCATTAAGGCGAAGTTAATGGGTTTTTAGGATGTTGGAAACTTCTCTCAGATCTGTGAGGTGGTTTGTAGCAACCCTGCTTTTCAATGCCATATCATCTATGTAAGTTTCCACAGTCCGATCGAGTTGCTTTCTGAACATTCGAGTTACCATTCGCTGGTAGGTCGCTCCAATATTTTTAAGGCCGAACAACATTACTTTATAGAAGTAGGTGTCTCTTGGAGTAATAAATGTTGTCTTCTCTTGATTTGGGCCAAATAGTGGTATCTGGTGATAGCCCCTGTAAGCATTCAGAAAGCTCATACGTTTATGCCCTGCTGTTGAGTCTACCAGTTGGTCTGTGCGAGGCAGAAAAAAACTATCTTTTGGACAAGCTCTGTTGAGGCAAGTAAAGTCGATGCAGACTCTCCACTTTTCGTTTTTCTTTTTTACTACCACTGTATTGGACAGCCACTGTGGGTACTAAATTTTTCAAATTGCCCCACCCGCTAAGAGCTTGTCGACCTCCGCAATTACTACCTTGGTGTGCTCAACTGAAGATCTTCGACTCTTCTATACAATAGACCGAGTGGAAGGGTTGACGTTGAGCTTATGACAAGCAAATTCTTGATTCAGCCCCAGAGTATCATATGCTGACCATGAAAAAACCTCCATATTTTTCCTCAAGAAATCCAACAATGCGCCTAATGAGGTATCGATAAGAAAGTATTTCTCTAGGTCACCCTCTTTTACTAAAACTTTGTCTCCAGATCCTCTACTATTTTCTCAGTTGGGCTTCCTCTGATGTCCTCTAAGATTGGATATTCTGCTACTTCAACTGTCTGAACCCGATTACAGAGTTGTTTAGCCTTCATAACTGTTATGAAACAATGCTTTGATGCAACTTGGTCTCCTGAAATCTGTTCTACTCCATGTTCTGTTGGAAAGTGAATAAGATGATGCTAAGTTGAGGGGACTACTTCCATTTGATGAATCCAAGGCCAACCGAGTATGGCGTTATAAGGAGACGGTGTGTTAATAACCAGGAATTCTATCTGTAGGGTCTTTGTCCCAGCTACTACAGGCAACACTATCCTGCTAAGCGGCCACTCAGGCTGCGAATTAAAGCCAACCAACGGTGCTGCTGCTGAAGTGAGGTGTTGCTCAGAAAGACTGAGCTTCCTAAACAAGTCATAATACAATATATCTATTGCGCTACCCTGGTCTACCAAGACTCGTCTCGCATCAAATCGTTTTTCAATTCTCACAGTTACAATTAATGCGTCAATATGTGGGTGTTGAATTTCCTTTAAATCCTACTTAGTAAATAAAACAGTACACACGGGGGTCTTAGGTATTGTTCGTACCTTTTTCGGTGCTAGACCCACTGACATGACTTGCTGAATCTGTACAGCCTTTGCGATTTCCTCTTAAAGTACCTGCTCTCGCTCATGACTGATTGCACCTTGGATTACATTTATGACCAATCGAGGCGGATACTCTGTGTTTGGTTCTGGTGAAGGATTTCCCGGTTCAGTTACTACTTTGTCCGGATCAATGTATTCTTGGAGGGGCCCAGCAGTTACTAAATCCTCCAAGTGTTGCTTCAATGCTCGACAATTCTGAGTCATATGCCCTCTATCCTGATGATAGGTGTATCTGAGCTTCTAGTTGTACCGAGTTGGGTCTCCTAGCATCTTTGGCAGCCAAGTAAAGAACAGTTCTCTCCTGATTTTCTCCATAAGACGTTAAATAGGTTCCTTGAAGACCGTAATAACTACTTCATGGGATTTAGACTTGTCTACTTCATTCACTACGATTCCTTGTGGTTCCCTTCGGTCTACTCTCTTTTTGTTCCCCCGAGTTGTCTATTCGGCCAATGCCATCTCGATGGGGATCTGATCATCTTCGAGGCGAGCGTACTGCTCAATCCTGGCACGTAAGTCCTTCAGTGCTATAGCTGGTTGTTTGGTAAGTGATTGTCTCAGTTTGCTTTCCGGACGCAGACTATGTTTAAAGGACATTACAACCATCTATTCACTGCAGACATTTTCCTCCAAATCATTATACTCTTCCCAGTACCTTCTTGCATAATTACATAGTGTTTTCTCCTGTTCCTTTCGGAGACCAAACAAAATGTCCGGCTCTTTCGGGATTTTGGTGTTGGAGACAAATCTGGCCAAGAACTCTTCAGAGAGTTGCTTCCAATCGTAAATTGATCCAGTAGGGAGACGATCGAACCATCGGAGTCTGGATTCTCCCAGGCTGGATGGAAAGACTTTGCACATTAGTGCCTCATCTCGGTTCCATAGAGACATCATCTGTCGATAGTGGCTAATGTTTGTTAATGGGTCTGACTTCCCATCATATGACATGAATTTTAGTGGAGTGAACTTCTTGGGGGGTCTCATAGCTTCGATATCTGGGGAGAAATGAGTGGAGACAAACCGATCTAGTGCTCGGTGCTCTCTCTGATGGACAGTACGATCAAGGTGTTGAGCCTAACGCTCTCGTCGTTGCTCATTTTGTCTGTTCTTGACCAACTAGGTACGGAGATCCTGAGAAAGATACTTTGTCTACTGACTGGTCGTTTTCTGCCTCTTAGCTCTCATCCTGCGTGAACCACGAGTGTGGCTGCTCGTTGCTTCACTTTGCACCGGGATTGGCTGACTTTGCTGCCTAGACTCATTTCTAGGGACTTTCTTTACGGGTGGTTCCAGGAATGGGCTCCTCTAGCACAGTCGAGAGGGTTCTGCATCTGTCATCTTCTTCGTTGAGTCGCCTATCATCTTTTTGAGCTGCGCTTTTAGTTCCTATATCTCCATTCCCTTGGAATTGACGATACGATCTCTATAATCTTTTTCCAACAGAAATGGTGGGAAGAACCACCATCAAAAGGCCGTCGATGCTTAACAAATTCTGGAGTCCGGTTGTTGTTTTCGGTCTGCTCCTCCAGAACTGTGGGCAACGCCAAGCCTTTATCCTTCGTCTTCTCTGTTTGTGGAGTCAATGCAGATGGTGGAATATCCTCAATTCTCATATCCAGAATCAGATACAGAACTCAGAGATGAAGAGTCTATGCTCAACGCACCAATTGTGCGTACCGAATACCGTACTAGATGATTGTAGATCGGAGCTCCGCACCTGATTGGACTATCCAGGAACAGAGACCCTGCAACATTGAGCACCGTGAGAGCTGCCCGCCCGGAGTTGGCCGGATAGCCCCTCCAGTATGAGAGTAAGTAATCAGAGAAGATAGAATGTGCTCTCTAGGTGTAAAAAGTTGTGTTTAAGTGAGTATAGTTCAGCTCAACTTAGTTACTTCCAATGTGAAGTGAGTGGAGTTTATATATATGATCCCTTACTTGTTGCCCAAGATGGTTTCATGAAATTTTGGTGCTGCCGAGCTCCCTCTAACATTGCTCAAGGTAGTGGACCACTAGGTAGTTGACAATGAATCCATATACTCATTGTAACCATGCTTATAATAGATCACATTCTCTTACTCAACTACTTTCGTGATTCTAAGGAGAGGGGACCAGCTGAGGTGGTAGCCTGCACATGCAAGTATTCATAACTTCTACGTTTCCCTGAGAGGTTCCCTTAGCTCGGTGTCGTTGTGCCCCGGCTCAGCCTTTCATTAAGCTGTTTACAGATATGGGTTGGCCCAATTAAATATCTTTGTGTGGGTTCAACCCACTTTGGTTTCTGATGATGGATTCGGCCCATCAGTTTTGTCCGTGAATTAAGTCCTGCTGCTCGGCTCAGCCCAGTATCGCGGCTGAACTGGCCTTTCCACTACGAATTGGGCCAAGTGTTGATTATGGAGTTGGACTTAATTGGCTTGCCCACATATTCACCTGACCTACTTAGACTTGGATTTAATGGACTAGGCCGGCCCAAGGCTTGAATTCGATCCATTTATATCCTACCCCTTCAAGAAGTTATTTTATAACTGCTATGATGGAAAATAGCTTAGTGGGTACCAAAATATGGGTGGATGACTATTGTTACTATTAAATCTTTTTACTAACTGACAAAAAAGATTAATATATATGAAAATTATATAATATATGGGGGCTTATTTTAGGAAAGAGAGGAGGAGGAAAAAAAAAAAAACTGGCCAATCACAAGTCAGAGGGGGTTGTGGGGGTCACCCATGGAGGGGGTCCGGATCATATATATCAGTCATTGACACAAGTGATATGTGTGTGATTAAAGGAAATAAAATTAAAATTAGAATTAATATCATAAAACTGCTAATAGTGTTCTTTCTTAAACTAGAGGTCTTGGTCTAAACTTTTATACATCTATTTATATAAATATTTTTATTTTAAATAGAAAAATGAAAAACATGTGATATAAAGATAAACAAGTATAGGCTTGAACACCATTTCAATAAAACAGGCAAATACTAATTACACAAGCATTGCACCCTCTTGCAGTTTTGAATTTGCAACCCACCTCACAAAGAATTGCACCCATCATATTTTGCTAATTTTTTTTTAGACCCACAATAATTGTTTTGATAAGAGGTGCATTCATATATTAGTTTTTAGAAGAAATAATAAATCAATGATAATTAAAAAAAATAAATATCAATCTAATAAAAAAATTGACAAAATTCATTTTACCCACCTTAGAGCACTTTACACGCCTATGATTCAAATATAGGCAAAAACATCCTTTATAATTTTGGACTAAAGTACTATCATTAATTTTTTTCGTTAAATATAATGAAAGGTGTGTTACACACTCTCAAATTGAGAGTGGACATTCAAAATTCCAAGTCAAAATAAAAAATTGAATCAAATGTCAATAATACCCTCGTATTCATCTTATTCTCTAAATTGAATATTAATCCGAACCAAAACCCTAGCCCTAATTGTCATCTTTTATATTAAAAAAAAATAATTTAATTTAAAATATTATTAAATTAGAAATCCCTAGCCCTAATTGTCATCTTTTATATTAAAAAAAATTAATTTAATTTAAAATATTATTAAATCAGAAATTTGGTTAAAAATTAAATAGTATATTAAATTAATTTTATGGTAATAAATTAGAATAATTAGGTTAATTTACGGTTTAATTTAACATATATATGTAAACATTAAAATTAAAAATTTGATTAAGGTAATTTTATGATTAAATTTTGTGGTAATAAATTAAGTTATATATGTTAATTTCTTATTTAAGTTGTTAAATATATATTTATGTGTTTAATTTAAAATGTTATTAAATGAGATAATTTTTATAATTAGGGTGTTTAGTTTAATTTATGGTTTAATTTGTTAAATATATGTATTCATATGTTTAATTAAAAATTTTATTAAATAATGTAATTTTATGGTAATAAATTATGGCATTTAGTTTAATTTATGATTTAATTAGTATTATATATATGCTTATTTTAAAATTTTATTGAATAAGAAATTAGATTAAAAATGAAAATTAGATTAAGATAATTTTATGATAATAAATTAAGGTGTTTAGGTTAATCTTATGGTTTAATTTATGGTGATTTTATGTTTAATTTAAAATGTTATTAAATAATTAAAAATTAGATTAAAGTAATTTTATGATAATAAATTAGGGTGTTTAGTTTATTGTGATTTTATTTGTTAAATATGTGATTAAGATAGAAAAATATGTGTATTAAAGAAGAGAGAAAGAGAATACACCGTAAGAGTATTTAGGTAATTTTGCTCTAATTTTTTAATAGAGTTAACTTTGCACATTAATTCAAAATTATAAGGCGATTATTTGCCTATATTTAAATTATAAGGTGGTAAAGTGTTTCAAGACAAAACCACAAAAAAGTATGTGAATTTTGCCCTAAAAAAAATTGTGAGTTGCACTTTTAATAAATCAGTGGCAACTAATGTATTTCCATTACAATGTACATTCTAAAAAATGAGTGAACGTTTTTTTTTTTTTTTTTTTTGCATACCCGTGCTTTTCATAATGGTTTTATGTGAAGTTCCGTCGAATTCATCTTTAATTTTCTGATTGTTTATATTAAAATAAAAATTATAATATAGAAAAAAAAAAGGATAAATAAGAAAATCTCAGGATATCACAACAACAAAGTCGCGTATGGCAAGTGGTGTTTTTAAGATTAGTGATTTTTGTAGTTACAAAAAGATAAAGAGTTGTTTTGAAAATATGATTAAAAGTTAATTTTTTACCTTTTTTTAGGTTTTTTTATTTTATTTTTTGAAAAAATGTGTAAAAATGTGAGAGATACGTACCTTAAAATGAGTTAAAAGCTGAAAGATGACTTTTAACCATCTTCGTAAAATAACTCAAAATAAGTTAAAAAATTAATAAGACAAAATATTATATTCAAATCATAATTATTTTACTTTTTCTCTCATAAAAGTTTAAAATTTTAACTCTAACGAATTTTTTAGCCCTAAATGCCAAAATTCAAATGATCTGTGGGAGCTTATTAAAGCTAGAGTGGCAATGTGGTTGAGGATACATGCAATTAGCAAACGGTGTGTTTGATTCAAGGGATTAGGGGGGAATTATTTACTGTTCGGATTGCTTATTTAATGGAGGGGTCATCCATCATTTGGTGCAATTTTAGTGCACCAAAATGGAGTCCGGTCGGACTCCATGTCCC